TTGTAATGCCTTGCGGTCACCTGGATATATATACCTGGATGAGTGTCCCAATGTTTTTTTTTTAATGTTACTGATTCATTTCATTCCATTTGAATCATTATGGCCGGCTACACCAGTATATACACCTGGATGAGTGTCCCAATGTTTTTTTTAATGTTACCGATTCATTTCATTTCATTTGAATCGTTATGGCCGGCTACACCATGGTACCGATTTATTTTCTCTCTTGTTTTATGGTACACTGAAGCCACTCAACTTTATTTTTTCATTTAAAAAAAACAGTATATTGACATGTCAGGTATTGTTTCTTTATAGGTAGAATTTCCTCTGCTGCAAGTCGCCTCTGGAAGCAATGCATTACACTCAGAGGACCTGGGACCCCCAACCAAGGAATGTGCCACTTGCCAGACAGTACATGGAATGATGCACTGAGATTGTGCTTTAAACCTGTTGACAAAAGTGTACCTATGTATCAGCCCCCTGGGCACATATAACTGTAGTTCTTTATCCTCAAATAAAAAATCCTCTGCTTTGCTGAGTCAATTAGTAGTTGACTTAGGGCATGATCACATAAGGGAAATGTTACTGGGGCAAAAATAGAGAACATTTCCCATATGTGATCACGCCCTAAGTCAACTAATTGATTCAGCAAAGCAGAGGAATTTTTATTTGAGGACAATAGCACACATAGCTCTCTCCTCACACCCTGCTTATAAACATGTGGATGAAAACTCCTTCTACAAAGTTCTGTCTCTGCCTTTGTCACATTAAAACCAAATCTGTGTGGTAGCCATGTGTGTGAAAGAACTTTAGGATAATTCCCAAATGCTGCAAGGCAAATAAAGGATTTAATTTAAAAAGAGAAGGAAGGAAGGAAGGAAAAGCCCACAAAAACTACTAAATAAAATAAATATTTTAAAAAAAACACCCTTAAACAATACTGTACCAGTTTTGTACCTCCAATAAAAGTGGATAGGCACTGAAACATTTTCAGAATAGTAGGGATAAAAATACTATATAAAGGCCACTTTATTATACCTACCCGCCGGTCAGTCCCTTCTCCTCCCAAAACCCTGAGCCATCTTATTTGCTCCAACCTGTGGAGACTAAAGTGAATTCTGTGATTCTGCACTACTAGACAATGGCTGAAATCCTGTTGCTTAGTGTAAACTAAATCATAACTTCTGGTCCATTGATCCCCAGTAACCATGCAATCTCTGTTAGCCTTTTGGGGGGTGGGGTGCACATGCTAGCTTGGTGCATGTATATGTGCACCCTGAGACTTGTCACAGGGATGCTTCACTTATCAGGGAGGAATGGATTAAAAATTATGACTTGGCTTAAATGAAGCAACAGGATTTGGGCCAATGTGTATTGTTGGCACGGGAGTCTTCTCCAGCACCATATTCCAAATGCAGTTCATACGTATACATACGCAGTGAAGATTAAACCTGCATAGTTCAAGCATAAGCACTGATATGCTTAAGTATTTTTTTTTATTTTTATATTAATGAGAAAAAAATAACAAAAATCACTTTAAGAAAAAGAATTTTAAATGCTAGATTAAAGAGATGTGTCTTCACATCTTTCCTAAAAGCAGTGAATGGAAACTAACTGTTGTTCTAAGGGTTGCATATTCCTCACTGAAGAAGCAACAACATGTGAGAAAGCTCTCTCCTTGCTGTCTGCCATGTGGGCTTCAATGAAGTACTCTCAAGAGGGCTTCACTTGAAGATCTGATTATCAGAATAAATTTATAAGGAGAAACTGGTCCCTTGGACAACCACACCCAAGATGTTTAGAACTTTTAACAGCTTAAACAGACACCCTAAATCGGGCCTAAAATTTTAAGTCAATGCTACCAGTGTGGCCCTTTCACTACTGCAATAAGGCGATCATGACAATGTCTAGCCGCTGCATTTTGCACCGACTGAAGCTTCTGAATTCAAGGGTAGCCCCATGTACAGAATATTTCAGTAATTCAGGCCACATTTTGCAAAACGTACTCTTTGAACTACTGTTCCCATAATCCTGCAGCCAATATGGTCAGTGGTCATGTTTGCTGTGTGATAGTGGGACTTCTAATCCCAAACAATAATTATTCCAGGGTCTCCTCTAGATATGATGTAATTAAGGGAGATCAGGGAACAAAGCATTGAGAAGCCGTGTTTTTACAAATTTGGAACACCAAGACCTTGAATCTTCTCTACACTGATACTCAGAGAACTTGTACGAAAATGATATGTTGCATATAACGAGAAGGTAAGGAAAAGCCATAGGCTTCTGATCAATGAAATCTACAGGCAGAACTCAAAGTCCTTGAAAAGTAGAAAGCTGTCAGAGTGATCCCTGTCACAGAATAATCAATGAAAAACAGAGAAAATAGAAACCATGCAAAGGAAACTAGCCAAGCCAGAGGTTTCAGATCATATCAATTAATAGAGATAATTCAAAATATAAGCAAAATAACAGTGAGCCTTGCCACTAGACAACAACTGAGTCAATAATACTAGTAAAAACATTACCCTTACGGAGTAGATAACTCTAGAACCTAAAGTAAACTGGCTCTTAGCACATCTATATATTCTATACTGGCTATTATTCAGACACACTGTGGGCTTGGAGAAGCATCTGGGCTACTACTTATGACTCTTGGAGGTCTCTTTGAAGATCTTTGGGTCTTCCAGCACTGGGATATTTTGATTCTATGCTGAAGTTTCCAGGGCTGGCAAGAGATTAATTGGACTAGATGACTGCTGGATCCTACCAACAATGTTGAAGAAAGAATCAATTACCTCTCTAGTTGGGCTTTGTACAATCACACCCAATCTTTGCCTCAGTCAGCACAATGCCCCAGGCCAGCTGCAGAGAAGCCCCATGGATGTGGGTTTGGGATATGTGATGAGTTGGAGTTGGGTGATCTGTGAACCATCAGTGCCACAAAAGTCCAAATTTGTGATATTATGTCTCAGACTGATATGAATCATTCTGTTGCTAGTGTCATTTCTGCCTCTCCTCCTTTTAGTACACTGCCATTTAGATCTTGGAGGCCAACAAACCTGGGGATGGAGGGGTGTGGGGTTAGAACATTTCTCTCAACATGTATTTCCCTCATTTCTAGCATCTAGATGCAACTTAATCAAAAGTTCAAAAAACAGAACATATTTGTGCATCAAGAGGAGCACTTAAGCCACCTCGAAATAATTTTGCATCACAGCTCAGTTTGTGAACAGCAAAATATTGGCTGAAATCCTAGCACAAGATCAAGTGCAACGCCTTTGTAAACTGCCACTGCTGTGATTCTCAAGGGTGCGTGCATGCATGCACTAAAAGGCAGGATGTGTATGCACTCCCCCTCTGCAAGAACCTAGGCAGTGGTGGTGGTTTGTTTACAAGGGAGGAACAGATGGAACGTTACGCTTGGATTTATGCTACAAACAGGATTTCAGCCATTGTGGCTGGGAAAAATTCATTTTCCCTCCAGCTTCACTGAGCATGAACTCGGAAAGAACAGTGGAGCCTAGGGGAGGTGGCAGATAATGTGACCATTGTTGCTAATGAGAACATCCTAGGGCTCCAACCTATGAGACTTTGCTCTGCTATACCACTGACTTGTGAATGAGGAACCAAATGAAATTCTCATGAGATCCAGGGAAGCTTCAGATCAAAGGCAGAGCAAGGGGGCAACACTGGAAGTACGCAGAGCAGAGATGGCAGATACATGACTCTCCAAAAGTTGTTGGATTGCAACTCCCATAGCCAATGCTGAAGGGTGTAATTGTTGAATTACAACTCCCATCATGCCTACCCACTGATGTAATCCAACAACACACCCCTTTACCCTTGCAGTAGTGGCTGAATGTGTCACCCAAGCTTCTAGCTGCTGACTGCTTGCTTCCGTAAGTGGCAGGAGACAAAAATGAATGTGGATTTCTTTTCCATTAAAACCAAGAGAAACATTGCCATGGGTCCATTGCATCTATGGAGACGGTACCTTTTATTAGGAGGCCTTGACAATTCTCTCTATAGTGTGTCCTACTGCTCAGTTTCGATTGCACGTGCAGACAAAATGTTTTAGCATGCTCTATCATGCTGAAAGCAAGGGGTGCTTTCAAAATGAAGATGAAAGAGAGTGTCTGAAGAACTACAAGAATGGAAGTAGTAAGAAGGGGTGGGGGAAGTACAGAGAAGGCAGAGGCATACGATTCTGTATCAGTGCCAAATGCTACATACACACTTTCATCAGCAGCCAGCTGAAGGAAAGGCAACGCATGGATTTTCCTTGAATTGAAGATGAAGGGAAGCAAATGATTAAAAATGAAAGAGCTAATGGGCTGACGCAAGGGAGGGGGGAGAGAATTGTTTTTAGAACCCAGAAATTGTTTCCTTACATCCCTCAAAAGGGAGACAAGGCACCAGAAAAGAGGGAGACCAAACTTCTTTCCTGGGCAAGCTCACATAAAAGACTGGATTTCATTAAAGAAACTCCCCAGTCCACACATCGGGCTATTTGTGAATGCACTAATTAAAATCACAAAAAAGCCACCCAAAACAAAACCGAGACACACGCGTACACACAGCGCCCGCCCCGCTTGAAAGCCTGACAGAAAAGGGAGTGCACCAGGTTGATTTAAAGTAGTAGGGTTTTTTTTTCCTGTCGTTGGTCTCCTTTTTTTTCCCTGCTCTGGCACACTCAGACTCGGGTGGGTGGGGGGGAGAGGAGCTGCTCCTTCCTTCCTCCAGCGCCTTCCCTCGCTCTCTCGCTCGCTCTCTCTTTTTTTGTCGGCGAGTGACTTCACTGTCCTTTGATTTGGAAGCCCGTTGATTGGCTGGGAGCAATTCAACACAGGCAGCCGGGCCAAAAAGAGAGAGAGAAAGAGGCGGAGGCTTTGTCTGAGTTGAAGTGAAGTTCTTCTAGCTTTTTAGACGGGAGTTCGCCAGCCGGTGTGGTGCGTAGTCCGCAGTTAAGCCGAGAGAAGGCAAGAAGGCAGACCAAAAAATAAATAAAAATTAAAAAAAGAAGAAAGGGAAAAAGGGAAGGGAGGAAGAGAGGGGGACTGGCTTCGACAGAAGCAAGACCAGGACGCCCAGCCGCGCAGCCCCGGTTTTTCAGCTCCTGCCTGGGCACTTCAGCGGAAAGGAGGAAGGAACTGCCGCGGGAGGAAAAGGAAGCGCTGATGTTCGCAACTCTCCTGGACGGCAGAGGAGGCGCAAAAGGCAGCCGGCTTGCCCACCGGAGGATGTTACCAGGGAGCCCCGCCGCCCTCCGTTGTACGTATCTCCGCAACTTTTTCTGAGCTCAGGGCGAGGAGGTCGGAACTTTTGCGGTTGTCAGGAGGACGTTTCTTTCCCCCGGTTGGTTTCCAAAGAACCAAATGCGTGCTGGGCTCGAGGGAGGCCACGGGAAAGAAGTTGAGCGAGCCTTGCTTGGTGGGACTTGTTGGGATTGGGAACGAGACTTTGGCCCCGATTATGCCGCCGCCGAGAAGGAGCCCGATGCCCTTTCTCATGGCCCTGGCGACGATCGTCTGCTTCTCCCCGAGCGGAGCGGGCAAAAATTTGAAATACCGGATCTACGAGGAGCAGGGCGTGGGCTCGGTGATCGCCCGGCTCTCGGAAGATGTGGCGGATGTGTTGTACCGCCTGCCTAACCCGGCTTCGGTCCGCTTCCGAGCCATGCAAAGGGGCAATTCGCCTCTGCTGGTCGTCCGGGAGGATAACGGGGAGATCAGCATCGGAGCCAAAATCGACCGGGAGCAGCTCTGCCAGAAAAACTTGAACTGCTCCATCGAGTTCGATGTGATCACCTTGCCCACCGAGCATCTGCAGCTTTTCCACGTTGAAGTGGAAGTGCTGGATATCAACGACAACTCGCCCCAGTTCGCCCGAGCCCTGATCCCCATTGAGATCTCCGAGAGCGCCGCTGTGGGGACGCGGATTCCACTGGACAGTGCCTCCGATCCAGATGTGGGGGAGAATTCCCTCTACACCTACTCCTTGTCTGCCAACGATTTCTTCACCATTGAGGTGCGGACGAGGACGGACGGCGCCAAATACGCCGAGCTGATCGTGGTGAGTGAACTGGATCGGGAGCTGAAGTCCAGCTACGAGCTGCAGCTCACCGCCTCGGACAACGGGGTCCCTCAGCGGAGCGGCTCCTCCATCCTCAAAATCAGCATCTCCGACTCCAACGACAACAGCCCCGTGTTTGAACAACAGACCTACCTCATCCAGCTGTTGGAAAACTCCCGCGTTGGGACTTTGCTCATTGACCTCAACGCCACCGACCCGGATGAGGGCAACAACGGGAAAGTTGTCTACTCCTTCAGTAGCCACGTGTCTTCCAAAATTACAGAGACTTTTAAAATGGACCCTGAAAGGGGACAGCTGACCCTTCTGAAACCAGTGGACTATGAAACCACCAAGTCTTATGAAATTGATGCCCAAGCCCAGGATTTGGGCCCCAACTCCATCCCAGCTCACTGCAAAATTATCATTAAAGTGGTGGATGTGAACGACAACAAGCCGGAGATCAATTTAAACCTGATGTCTCCAGGGAAGGAAGAAATTGCTTACATATCTGAGAAGGCTTCCATAGAGACTTTTGTGGCCCTGGTCCGAGTACAAGACAAAGATTCTGGAGCTAATGGAGAGGTGGTGTGCAAGCTCCATGGGCATGGACACTTTAAACTTCAAAAGACTTATGAAAACAACTATTTCATCTTAACCAATACCACCCTGGATCGGGAGAAGCGGTCTGAATATAGCCTGACTGTCATTGCAGAAGACAAGGGGACCCCAAGTCTCTCTACAGTGAAACACTTTACTGTCCAGGTCATTGATGAAAATGACAACCCACCCCAGTTCCAGACCAACAGATATGAAATTGTCATTCTGGAAAATAACTCTCCAGGGGCATATATCACCTCTGTTACAGCCACAGATCCAGATCTAGGAGATAATGGGCAGGTGACCTACACAATCTTGGAGAGTTTTATACTGGGAAGCTCTATAACTACCTACGTGACCATTGATCCCTCCAACGGGGCCATCTATGCACTTAGAACCTTTGACCATGAAGAAGTTAACCAGATTGCCTTTGTAGTTCAAGCCAGAGATGGAGGGAATCAGCAGCTTGCCAGCAACACCACAGTTGTGCTTACCATCATTGATGAAAATGATAATGCCCCTGTGATTGTGAGTCCAGTGCTGCACAACAATACTGCAGAGATTTCAATCCCTAAAGAAGCTGAGAGTAACTACCGTATCACTAGGATAAGAGCCATAGACAGAGACTCAGGTATGAATTCAGAGCTGAGCTGTTCCTTAGCAAGTAGTAGTGAAGCCAGCCTTTTCATAATGGACCCACAAACATGTGATATCTATCTCAATGGTAGCATTGAATCCACAAAGTCAACAGAGTGGGAACTTTCTGTGGTTGTTCAGGACAAAGGAAGTCCTCAGCTCGGTACCAAAGCACTTCTGAAATGCAGCGTTGTTAAATATGTTTATCTCCCTTCATCTACAGAAGCCACCTTTGTTAGTCAACCTTCTCTAGATATCTCCATGATCACAATTATATCCTTAGGAGCAGTATGTGCAGCTTTGCTAGTAATCATGGTTGTCTTTGCTACAAGGTGCAATCGTGAGAAAAAGGACACCAGGTCCTATAACTGTCGTGTTGCTGAGTCCACATACCAGCATCACCCAAAAAGGCCATCAAGGCAGATTCATAAAGGGGACATTACACTAGTGCCTACTGTTAATGGTACTTTACCAATCAGATCTCACCACAAAGCATCACCTTCATCATCTCCAACATTGGAAAGAGGACAAATGAGCAGTCGCCAAAGCCATCACAGTCACCAGTCTCTAAATAGTCTTGTGACCATCTCATCAAATCATGTGCCAGAGAATTTCTCTCTTGAGCTCACTCATGCTACTCCTGCTGTTGAGGTAAGCTCACATGCTGTGCTGTCTGGATGAGAACTCATTCATACATGCAAGCACCTTTTGTGACCACTTCACCCTTTATGGAAGTTGAGATACTTTGAAGCCAGTCTACTAACTGTTGTACACAATTGTATTTTCAGTGTGCTATATGCAAAAACAAATACCTGCATGCATGGGGAAGCCACAGTTGGCTAGAACCTGAACATGCACTGTGGACAAAGTGAAATAATGTGTGTATGAGGTTTTCATTGTTCAATATACTGAAGTTATTTTAGTGTAAGAAATGTATAATATGTGAAGATGTCCTATTTCCTTCTCTTTCTCTGTTTAGGCTTCTGTGTAAATCATGAAAGCCCACATACAACTTTTCATTAACATTCTGACTACTTAACTTTGCAGTGTCAATTAAATTTTAAAATAAGGTGGCAGTGGTATAAAATTATTGCTGTTAATCAATAACATATTTGTCTCATGCTGTCTTTTGAACATTTTGCATAAATGCTTTCAGTAGGCCACAGTCCCATGTTCCCCTCTGCTTCTGTTTTTAGACACATGTCCCAATGTACTTATACAGTATACATAAATGGAACAAAACAACACTGTTGTTTATTACTAACACTGGAGTAATTTTAAGTACAGCTGCTCTAACAGTTGTATGAACTGGGCACGCAAACTTCTTCATGAATGTGTTTTAAGGCCCTGAGTCATAATGCATTGCTTTTGAATGTGGTCCCACTGACTTCAGTAGAGCTAATTCCTATCCAAATATTTTAGCTTAACTACTCTGAGGATCAGACTACAGTTCTTTAATTATTTAAAGAATAATTAAGGGCTAAAAGACAGAACTGAACTATATTGATGACATGCCATCAGATATTTCTCTACCCTGTATCATATTATTTGTTAAAAACATAGATAATAGATCTTTTTAAAAGCCACTAAAAAGACCTAAACCCATAGTTCCTCCTAGGAAGATACCTGAGCATCATTTCATTTCATCAATTGTGTGTCTGTCTGCTTCTTCCCAGGTCTCTCAACTTCTCTCCATGCTTCATCAAGGCCAGTATCAGCCAAGGCCGAGTTTTCGAGGAAACAAATATTCCAGAAGCTACAGGTGAGGACTGAATCAGTGGTGAAAGCAGTTCTACCCAAGGAGAGTGTCCTGCATGTAAGCGAGTAAAGGACAATCCTGCCAGCATGTCACTTCTATTTCTTTGCAGGTATGCCCTTCAAGATATGGATAAGTTCAGCCTGAAAGACAGCGGCCGTGGTGACAGTGAAGCGGGAGACAGTGATTATGATTTGGGGAGAGATTCTCCAATTGACAGGCTTCTTGGAGAAGGATTCAGTGACCTTTTCCTTACAGATGGGAGAATTCCTGCAGGTAAGAATGCAATGAAAGTTGAATAGTTTACTCACAGTGCCCTCTGATAGTCAGGTAATTTCACATCAAGTTCTTTACGTTTCAGGCTTCTTTCACCTTACACACTGGTTTTCTCCTTGACACCATTTATAATCCATCCCAGCCATCACATGCAAAAATATATGTAGTGTGTTCAAAGTGCTGAAAATTTATCCACAGCTTAAAGGCTACATGTACTACCTGTAGGAACATAGGAAGTTGATTGTTGGCCCATCTAGCTCAGTATGTCAGCTCTGGCTGGCAGTGGTTCTCCAGGATTTTGAACAAAATCCTTTCCTAGTCCTGTCTGGAGATGCTGGACACTGAACCTGGGAACTTCTGCATGTAAAGGAGGTGCTAAGGTACCGTACCTGATACTCCTTGATAGTGTCCTATCCAAGTTCCAGTCGGTCCCAACTCTACTTTCTCCCTAAAATCAGACAAAATTGGGTGTGTTCAGGGTGGAAAAACGATAATATCACCATGAGCTGGGCCTTTAAAGCTTTCCTATAACAAGGAAAAACAAATTATTACGGTTTTCCTTAATCCTTGCAGTGGTGTGTTGCCTTTAAAACAGAGGGCAGCAGCTCTGAATTGGTAAGCAATTAGACTCGGTGAATAGATGTCATACCTAAAATGCTCAAAATGCTTTTAAAATAGCATTAAGTGGAGTGGGCAACTTAGGTGGGTCTGAAGACCAGTCATACTCTCTGGGATCTGCTGTGGACCATAACCCTTGCCAGATTTCATTGATGAAGAGGAACAAACCTTTAAAACAAGCAGCAAAATCTTAATGGGATTTTCCTGGTTAGTTGCTGAATAATTTGTGGTTTTGGTGGTGACTTGGTGGTGACTTTTGGGGACTGATGCATCCCTGTATTGTCCATCTGAGGTACTTAGAAACAAGGAGGCATCTTATGGCTTTCCAAACCCTGTTGAGATGCAACTCCCATCCTCTGTGTTAACTGTGCTGGCTAGGCCTGAGGGGAGGGACTCAAGATGCCCATCTGGAGAGAACTCGTATATCAAGGAAGAATCACACATGTGTATCTAGGAATCACAGCTGTTAATAATGAAGATAGTAATCTGTATGCAAATAATAGGTATCTATTGCCATATTTGAATGGCTGTATTTTGTGAGCCACAAGTTCAGAATCTTAATATGGGGACTTTGCTTTGAAATCAGTTTATTCACTATATGGAAACCAGATGAATTGATTCTTATGCAGCAGCAATGGAGAACCTTTGGCCCTTCAGGTGATTTGACCTACAAGTGCACATAATACCTCATGATTAGCCATCCTGTTGGATCTTCTGGGGCTTGAATGCCAAAATATCTGAAGGGCTTATGGTACAATCCTAGGCATGCTTAATCATGAGTAAAGCTCCCTAGAGTAATCAGTTGCTATGGCCTGTGTTTCAAATATGGATGGGAAGAGAGATCCCATACTTGGTACAGGCTGCAGGTGTGCCTAAACAAGTGCACCACTTGTACTTATTGCTAAATAGCAATAGACGCTGGAGAGATGCTGTCAATCAGAGTAAGACATTAATCAGCTAAATGTCCATGTAATTTGAGTTAGTATGTGCCACCTCTTCTATATTACCCTGTTCCCCCCAAAATAAGACCTAACCTGAAAATAAGCCTAGTATGATTTTTTGGAATGCTTGTAATATAAGCCCTACCCCAAAAATAAGCCCTGGTTAAGTGACACCCCGAGGAGGTGACACAGCTGTATACAGTCTCTTTAAGAGGTCACAAAAATGCTATTTGTGCCCACATCCACCTATTTCTCTTTTGCCATTTTTTGTTCAATGTTAATGAATGTTGTTCCTCAGAAACCAGTGTTACCCCCCCCCAAACAAAAAGGTTCTAATGAATTTATAAGGGAAGCAGAGGCATTTTCTTGTAATAAGTTAGAAAGAACTCCTGACCACATAAATATAGACTAACCAAATTAACAGGCCAAAATATCTGAAAAATAAATGGAATTTGTGCAGTCAAGGGTCACACATGTTTGCTTTGTCACCAAGCTTGATACTTTTGCAGGGCAGTGGAGGTAACATTTAAAATGACTTGCTCTCTTTACACTAAGGCTCTTTGAAGGTCACCAATAAACCAATAATGACTTGACCTTTGCTATCGCAGCTTCTTCCTGGAAGTAATATAAGGAAGTTCAAACCTGGACTATTCTACATATCTTCCCAAAATGAAATTGGATTTATAAAATTTGATTAAAGCACATGGAGTTTTGGATTGACCTGAAGGCACATAGGTCACATCTAGTTAGGTATTTAAAATGAGAAGCATCAGATGTCTATTAAAATAGGAAGCCAGATATGTCATTTTGGGAAATCTACTGTCATTAGAAAACACTGACATGCAGATGAGATAACAGTGTCCTTCTTTCATCATTACGAATTTGGTCAAAGTCCTTAATCCTACCACTTAACCAAGTTTTTTAAACTAAGAATTTTGGCTTGGAAATATGACTGCTTTTACACAAATTTATATATTTTGTATTGTTTTCTTGATTTACACATTCCTTTCCAGCAGTTGTCCCCATCCTTGGGCCTCCAGATGTACCACAAGTCCCAGAAGCCTTCACCACCACCTTTTCTGGCCAGGATTTCTGGGAGTTGAAGTCCAAGAACATCTGGAGGCCCAAGGTTGGGGACCACTGCTTTACAGCATAACTTCCAAAGCAGTTAGCAGGAAAAGTCAGTTCGCGAGGGGAAGTTCCAAATTAAATACTAATAAAACATGTGGAAGCAATGTTGTATTATGATAACAGTCTTTTAAAAAGCGAAAATTTAGAACAGCAAAGCTCTGATTAGCACCCCAGTTGTCACTATAATGAACCAAATGCATTGTGAAAAAGAGGAAAGTTAAAGAATTCACTGAAGACTGTGATCCCAAAGCTGAGTTCCAATCTCTGAAAAAGTCACAGATTATATACCCATTTGCTATATCTGGACAGGCAGGGTCAGTTATGTTTCCTCAGAGAACATCAGCATAATCTATACATCAATAGAGACGGTGCTTTAGGGGGAAGGGAAGCAGTCTTTCTAAAGTGTGGTGGATGACGTTTGAACACACATTGGCTACATTTATCTTTTGGGCAGGGACGGTGAATTTAAAACACCCCTCCAACACTTAGAATAAGAGTTGCCCAGCCTGCTTATAACTTTAAAGGTCCATAGCATAATCCTGTAACTTTTTATTCAGATATGTGCCACAGATTCATAGAATAATTGAGTTGGAAGGGGCCTGTAAGGCCATCAAGTCCAATTCTTCAGTCCAATCAAAGCAGATCTGACAGATGGTTGTCCAATATTCTCTTGAATGCCTCTGTCAAGGTCAAAGCTGTTTACTATCAGGTGAAGTCTTTACAGCAGGGGTGGGCAACACATACAGGCCCAATATCCTTTGCATGGCTTCCATCACTCCCAAGACAATGCCAGAATTTGGTGATAGAATTGCAGAACTAGAAACTGAATACAGGGACTGCAAGGAAGCCCACCAACTTACCAGCCTTGCGTTTTGGGATCTTTCCTTTTGACAGAGAAGATGTTTTGCTCTGGAGCAGGTTGGACACTTAAGCTGCCCCAGGCAGCTACTACAGTTGCCACTACATTTTGGTGGCAACTGTAGAAGGAACAGCAGGAGGAACTTCCATGGTGGTTCAGCTTCCATTGGGCTTTGGATATACGAACCAGCCTCTGATTCTGGGCAGCTTCCCCCTCCTGCCCTCAGTTTATGAGATTACTGCCTACTACTGAATTGTGTCCAGTTATTAATGATGAATAAATTCTTGTTCCTATTTTGATTTCAGCAATGAGGTTGTGCACAGAAGAATGCAGAGTCCTGGGACATTCTGATCAGTGCTGGATGCCACCTCTGCCCTCTCCATCTTCTGACTACAGAAGTAATATGTTTATTCCTGGAGAAGAATTTCAGCCCCAGCAAAGCCAGCCTCCGCCACAGCAGCAGCAGGTATTGGAAGAGGACTCTCAGGCTGTTGAATCCTCTGAAAAGAAAAAGAGCTTCTCAACCTTTGGCAAAGACAGTCAGAACGAGGAAGAAGCAGGTAACGTGTGTACCTCATCTCTGCTCTCTGAAATGAACAGTGTTTTCCAGCGCCTCTTGCCTCCTTCATTAGATGCCTACGCAGAGTGCAACGAAATGGATCCCTCCAGTTCACTAGAGCGCAGGAAAGGACACTTGTCTGCTAAAACTGTCAGTTATCCACAGGGAGTGGCAGCATGGGCAGCCACAACACACTTCCAAAACCCTGTGAACAGTACTGGGCTTCCTTTGGGGAATCATTCAGGCGCCCAACCCTCTTCAAAATGGCTGCCTGCCATGGAAGAAATTCCAGAGAATTATGAAGAAGATGACTTTGACAATGTGCTTAACCACCTCAGCGATGGGAAACACGAACTAATGGATGCTAGTGAGCTGGTGGCAGAAATTAACAAACTGCTACAAGATGTCCGGCAGAACTAAAAGGTTTTGTTTCATAGCATATTAATTTTCCATATTTATGGAAAACAGAGGGATAGGAACCCAGAATGAAAAGAACTGGCATTGCCAATTAGTTACATTTATCATAAATGTGTCTGTGTATGTTGAATATTAAAATACTGTATTTTCATATGTACACAATGCAAGTGTGATTATCTTTAACTGTATTTTAAAAATACATTTGTACCTTATATTTATGTGTAATTTAACAAATAAATTTTATTTTTGTACTCCCATGGTAAGCATGTTTTCCTACATATAAGCACTTGGCACCATTTGTGTCTGAAATTCAGTATTTCTGCCACAAGAATATATAATGACTAAAATCTGAGGGATGCTGTTTTCCCTGGGTTTCCCTCCAACGCCCCCACAATGAAATGTTATGATTCAAAATCAAATCAAATGAAACCTTATCCAAATGTTAGTTTCAGTAACTGATCTAACATCTTGTTACACTGTTTCATTCTTATAATAAAGAGTTGTCAACTCCGTTGAAGACTAGACGTTCATTTTGTTTTCAGGTCGAAACACAGGCACTCCCCCACATTACATTAAGAAGACACAAATATGAGCAATGTTATCTTTATTACAAGTAAAATCTAATACTGATATGAGTCAGTAATCCCAAACATTTTTTAAAAATCATATTCAGGTTCAGGGCTAGGCCTGTCATTAGGCAGAGTATTTTTCCTCAGGCAGATGCTTGGGGACAACAATGACAGCCTTGAGGTTATTCCTCCAGAACATCTGTGGGGCAAAGCTATGGCTGTCACATCCACTATCTCAGTCCCTTAAGCAGCCTGCTGCCTTAGCTACAGGGAGAGATATTACCATATTACCCCATTTTAGCTGTTGAAGTATGTTTCCATAACTAATCCTCTTATCTCCTGCCTATGGAATGGTAAGTGGGCACCAGCTTGTCTCTTGTCTCAGGCAGCAAAATACCTAGGGGCAGCTTTGTAAAACGTTCAAGGAAAATCTGTAAGGACCTTAACAGAGCATGTAGACTGGGTGGGTCCCTTGAATTCAAGCACACTGCATGATAGACCTGTAAACCTTGGTAAATTTTAGAGATCTCATCAAGTTTTTGGTCCAATTCTCCTTTCATACTAGCTAAGTTATGTCATCATTATTATTTTTTAAAACATGCTTTCATTATTATTTTTTGAAACATGCTTTCAGAGCACAGAGTGCTGTCCTCTGAAAATGCCGGCCACAGAGACTGGTGAAACGTTAGGAAGAACAACCTTCAGAACACGGCCAAAGAGTCAAGAAAACCCACAACAACCATGCTTTCATCTGTCTATAATCATTTAAACGTAGCTTATCCATCACAAATGATGATCAAAATACATGCATTTGACTGTCATTGACATTGATGTAAAATTGAAACAATAGCCGGGGGGTCGGGGGGAGAGCAAATTTAGAACTGGCAGTCATACCTGACAGCTGTGCCTATTAACCACCTTATCATTAACCATTAATGTATGACAGTTGGATAGTTCAGTGGTTTAAGTGTCTGGCTGTGGAACTAGAGGTTGGGAGTGCAATTCTCCACTGTACCTCCTCTAAGCAGCGTCAGTCTGTGTGGCCTTGGGCACGCTGCACAGCCCCAAGGCACTCCTAGAAGAAGAGACCGGTAAACCATTTCTGAATATTCTCTACCTGGAGAACATTGAAAAGGGTTCTCATAAGTCAGAATTAACTTGACAGCACATGATGATGATGTCTGATGTATACTGTTAATGGTCTCCCCTGGATGAGGGAAAGTTGCTACTTTGATTATGAAATGTTCTGCAGCATTGCTGAACATATATACAGCGGTGCCTCGCAAGACTAATGCCTCGCAGGTTAAAAAAAAAAAACTCGCAAGACAAATGGCTTTGGCAATGGGGTTGATGACTCGCAAGACCAATATTCCTATGGCCATGCTTCGCACGACAACTGTTTTCCGTTTTTTTGTTCCTGCCTCATGTTTGCTGATTTTAAAAAGTTTTTGTATGATGTTTAAAAAGTTAAGGTTTTTTGATTGAATTTTTAAAAATCATCTGCACAATATGTATGGCTTTAAAGAGCACTTAATAAACCCTTTGTAAACCAAATTTAACTTTGTTCTGACTTTATTTTTGCCCATAGGAACACATTAATTAGATTTCAATGCATTCCTATGGGAAAATGCGTTGCGCAAGATGAATTTTTCGCAAGACAACATTAATCGTGGAATAAATTAAATTTGTCTTGCGTACAGTACATAGCAAAGAATGTGTCACAACGTGCTTGGAACAGAAGATGCTAAAGCTAGATTTTGCCTCTGACTTCAAAGCTACCAGTCTTGCTAACTGATGGCAATGGTGAGAAGTTCAGGAATCCTGTTGGTTATAGGGGAGAATAAAGTACCTACTCAATATTAGGTTTCTCTCATGGACCCCCATGGAGGAGGGGAGAGATGGGGGTGTCTGCCTGTCTGGGATCCCAATTTGTTTATTACTTTGCTATATACATACAGATGCAATATACTGAAGTGACACACACTATGCACAGATAATGCTAACATAGCAGTATACAGATTTTCCTTCTTCCTCAAAACAATTCCTGCTTACACATAGAAGGGTATATCTGTCTGTGTGAATTTTTCATGGAGGAGAAGAACTAGACATCCTTTTTTTGGGGGTTCACTTACAGAGAGAAATAAAAAAATACTTGTGAGATTTTCCATCTGTTTCAATGGATGCTGTCATATACCATGGTAATGAGGGGTGGGTGGAAAGGTGGCTAATTTCACATTTGTTTCAGACAAGAACATATCTTAGGCCATCACTGGAACTTTGCATTAGATCCTTATCACTCAGTTGTCCTCTGCTTCTTACTAACTCATGGGGAAGCATGTAATGTCCTAATCTAAACTGGAATCAGAGCATGGTTAACAAGAGGGTAAACTCCCTGATATGTGTGCTTGTGTGGTCCTAATCTGGACTGCACATTACTTGCAGTTCAGTAAAATATTGAGAGACAGCTGCATACTGTGGAGTTAGCATAATGCCTGTTTTTAGATCCTTTAAAGCAGGTGCAAGGAAGAAGGAGATCAGGACATACTGTACTAGCAAAATGGCAAGATTTTTTTTGGATGCCAAATATTAAACAAAGGCAGCAAAAAAAAAGTAAATAAAAATAATTTTAAAAAATGTTCTACTCCAATACTTCTTACTAAAAAAGACTCCTATACTCAAAATTCTCCAGCTAATGTGTTATCCACAAGATTCTGTCCAGGACACCCTAGCAGAAAAGAAAGTAAATGCACCAAGCCTAAAAAGCCTGGCCACAATACAGATCAACAGGAGGTATATCCAGACCTCAGCCTGTCCACTTTATGGATTATTTGAATGCACTGCCCAAGGCTAAAAGCAGCCACTCTAGGATGCTAGAGTGTTGCATTGTTGAATTTTCACTATGGTACTGTCTGTTCACAAATTTTCTTTCTTTGATAGCAAACATCATCTCCCCACACTGAAGAAATTGACACCAATTCACTCTCACATGGGAGTGAGATTTTTTTCACTCCTGCATGAGAGTGAAAAGGCTAGCACTTTTAACATCAGCAGCAAATAAAATAAAATAAAAACCAGCAATACTTTCTCCATCAGCAAAAGCTGTGGTTTGCCCAAAATACCAATCTTGTACAACAAATCCCCATATTTTGCAAAGAAAACCTTGTATTTTGGATAGTATATTTTTTAAATTTGCAAAATACGAGCTTTCTTTTTTGGCAAGGACGAAGAATAAATTTTTGTGATTTTTTTGGTAGAACAATGCTAAAATGTAAAAAATTGCACAGTATTGTAATCTCACTCTGTGGGGAGAAAAGAATAAATTTTTGTGAATTTTTTGTAGAACAATGCTAAAATGTAAAAAATGCACCGTATTGTAATCTCACTCTGTGGGGAGAAAACTCTTGAAACTTTTTGCTCTCACTTGTGCAAATGAAATTAAAAAGATATCTATCTCTAGTGTCAGATTGCTTTATTTTTTTCCATCTTCCTTCTTAACAATACTGATCCAAAATTTGCCCAAGAAGGACATCCCCAACCTCCAGAGCAGACTTTGAAGATGCAAGGTGGGGAAAAGCTGTGAGAATAAAGGAAGTTCTCTCCCCTTTCACTGATTTGAATAACAGAATCAATGGAATGACACGATTGGATTGTTTAACTAGAGATAAGAAAGTGAGGGAAAAATTGTCACATGTTAAGTTATACACAGATGAGCTGGAAAAGCTAATTAAATGACACTGAAATTGAAAGAGGACATTTTAAACTGAAAGAACTGGGCATGTTTAGCCTTGAGAAGAGAAGACTGATAGGAGATATGATAGCACTTTTCAAAGGTAGCTGTGCAGAGATAGTATCTGTTCTCAGTCATCCCAGGACAGATAGTAATGGGCGCAAGCTAAAGGAATCCAGATTTAGGGCAGTAGCTAAATGTCAATATATTTAGAACTGAATCATAGAATCATAGAATAATTGAGTTGGAAGGGATCTATACATACATACATACATACATACATACATACATACATACATACATACATACTGGAGCATTCAACACCTCCCAAGAGAATTGGTTCCATTGTCATACTGCTTGAACAGTTAAGAAGTTGTGTGTGTGTGTGTGTGCGTGTGTGTGTGCGCGCGCGTGCATGCATGTGTGTGCGCATGTGTGTGTGTGCATGCACATGTGCGTGCACACACACATGCAAGCACACACACACACATCTTAACTGTTAGAGCAATATGACAATGGAACCAATTCTCTTGGGAGGTGTTGAACGCTCCAGTGCTGGAGGCATTCAAGTGAAAATTGGACAATCATTCATCAGATCTGCTTTGATTTGGATCCCTGCATTGAGCAGGGGGTTGGACTCAATGGACTTGTAGACCCCTTTCAAATCAACAAGTTGACATTTAGCTACTGTCCTAGAAGCTTTACACCTAACTTTTGTCCCATTTTGAGCTCTGGAGACAAGAAAATAGCTTCAAGAATGTTTAAAAATCTCATTTCTCACACACCCATAAAAAAATCTTTCTGTTGCTCTCTGATTCTCCCTCTCTCCTTAGCTCTTCTCCTTGTCCTCCCTCTTTTTTTTAGCTTACTTTAAAACTTGCTTTAAAACTCTTATTTGTATTGAGCAATGCAGATTCTTGAGTGGGAGGAGCCATAGAGAAGGAAGGGAGGGAGG